ATACCGGCCCCTTTAGTTCTAGGAGTACAGCTAAAGCAGTTTACTTTGCTTGTATAGGCATACTAGAGGATATAGCTAGCTGCAACTCGAGCATGTGAAGCCCAGCTCTTCTCCACGAAGTATACCTACATTGAGCTATATGAGTAGTTTTCTGAAGCAGGATCCCTTTTTAGGTCCCACAAAGNNAGTACAGCACCCTTGTGAAAAGGACCCTAAAAAGTACCCTAATTCAGACAACTACCCACATGGCTCTATGTCCTAAATCCTGAACCGCTATAAGTTTGCTGAAGCCACGGTACAGGGATGTTGCGGTGGTGATCTCCGCGGATTTGTAGGGGTTTACGTTTGAGGCTTTTATAAGGGTGTATAGGGCCCGAAAAGCTAAGACAGGCCTTTGGAGCAATATTGTCTTAAGGTTTGGACTTTAGGATTTGGTGGTCAGCGTTTAGGGTTTCGCGTCTCGGTTTTCCAGTGCTTGACCCGTTTTTGCCCTTCTTTCTTTGGGGGGTTCCTCTATCAAAACCGATTTGGTTTAGGAAGACGGGGCGCCCCTATAATTTTCAAGGGGCTGCTGGGGAGAACCTGGGGGTTTATGGTTGAAGAGATTGGATTGGGAAACCTAAAGCCGAAGAAGCCCCCAAAAAACCGCGGGACTCTGAACCTAAAACCCTCAAAACCCTGCGGTTGATGATAGAAATCCTGCATTACCTATAATAAGCCATAATAAGGAACATAACATAGCTCCCATAGTTTAGGGTCCTGAAGGTAATGCAGGATTCATATCATCAACAGTATTACTCTGAACCTAACACCCCGAAGCCGAAAAAAGCTACACCTTGAACGGCGAAGGCTCCACAACGATGATGGCAACCTTCAGTCGAAGCTTGTCACACAGCTTCTCGGCCAAGGTCTCCGTTTTTCGTCCTAGATCAAGGGGCCAAAGGTAGTCAGAACGGGCATTGAATAGGGGTTTGGGCCAAATCGTCGTGTCGTTTCGTTTGTTTTGGTCGGGGTTCTGGTTTACTCTAAACGATAAACCACGGGGTTCAGAAAGGGGCTTTGACTGCATTGAGTTAAGGTTAGGGTTTGCAAACGAGTCCAGGGCTTATTGTTTCGAGCTTAGAGTTTAGAGTACTTCAGTCTTTCAGCTCTACGTTGACCTAAACCCAAACCCTAAACCCCTAAACCCTACGTCCCTAAACCCCTGAACCCGGGGTCATTTCGAGCATGCTGCATGCTGCTCTACGGTCTTCCCTGCCTCTATGCCGCGTGCACATTCCGAACCAACATCCCGTTCGCGCCATAGTCTCGCCCGTGGGGATGCTGCATTGCTTGTACACTCGGATACCTCCAACTTCAGCAGTTCTGCACACTGCAGATTTTGGTGTGTAGATGGGTAGTTCTCTAACTAAGGTTGTTTTGTGCAGGATCCTGTTTCTAAGGGTGCCGCCTCCTTTTGGGTTGCAACAGGAAGGGACCCTGATTTAGAGAACCATCCAAACCGTAGTCCCCCTCACATTTTGGTCTGCAAAACCGCTCGGTCTTTCCAGCCCGGTCTGGTTCTGCAAGGTTAGCCGTTTCGGGGTGGTGCCTGCAACAGGGTACCGGGTTTAGGGCTTAGGCTCAAAGCTCTGTATCCAAAGCTGTTTAAGGCTTAGTTGAATTTTTTGTTGGGGATGTGGCCCTCGTAGGGTCTTCTCTGCGGCTGTTCAGTGCTTGGGGCCTACGCTGGCATCGGAGAGTACTACAAGCTGATTTTGGGTATATAAACTCCTGAATCAAGGGGTGTTGGGCGCTAATTGGCTGCTTGCTAGAAGCGAACGAGAGCTCCCCTACCCTAAGCCACAACACCCTAAATTCCTCGGCTCAAAGCCCGAAGCCCCCTAAACAAACCCATGTCCCAAACCTTAAAATGCGAAAGTCTTCGGGGCTTCTTTCCAAAAACCCTTGAAGCCAAGACCCGCAGCCTCACGACCCACACTCCGACGTCGTCTGAACTAGGGTTTAACAAACCCCGCAACCAGCCTACCTTACCTTAGGGCTCCTGAACAGGGCTTTTGTTTGCAGAATCTCTTAAAAGGGTGGGCAAATTGAAATCCCAAAACCCTAAACCCCTAAACCCCTAAACCCCTAAACCCTAAACTCAAGGGGTTCGGTTTTCGGATTTTCGGGTTGGGCTTCCATCGACCTGAGCCGCTGGGCTTCCTGTTCTCGGCTCGGTGTCGGGCAGAGCAGCGTTCTGCCTGCGGCTTGTGGTATTTAGAGTTTAGGGCTTAGGGCTTAGGGGGTTAGGGGGTTAGGGTTTAGGGGTTAGGGTTTAGGGGCTAGGGTTTCGGGGTTAGGGTTTAGGGTTTAGGGTTTGGCGGATAGGGTGTTGGTTGTTGGGCTTCAGGGTGTCGGGCAGGCCTTGGAATTTTGAAGTTTACGATTTGCATTGATCTTAGGTGCAGGGTTCTGCTCTTAGGGTTTAGGGTGTAGGGTCTATAGGGCTAGAACATAGCCAAAGCACCGCATACTATGAATCCCTGCCTGCTACATAAATGCGATGAGCCCAAGACATTTTCGAGGTTTTCGGCGGCAGCGAGACAACCCGAAAGCCCTACTCTAAACTCTACAACTCGATATCGCTGTGAGCCATCTCAGCACCCTAAATGCCTTAAGGCCCTAGATCAAAGTCTAAGCAAAACAGGAGTTTTTTATGCCCCTAAAAAGCTCCCAAGGTCTAAACCCAAAACCACAAAACCCTCCACATCTGAAGCCCGAAAGACCTGTCTTGCAGAGGTTTAATGGCTTCGAAACGGATACGAGCTCCTGTTTGGCCTTTGCGCCCGCCAACAAGACGGGGGCAGCCGGGCAAGCCAACCCCGCAGACTGGCAGGCAGGTCCAAGATGGGTCTGAAATATTCTTGAACGGCTGCCTTGTAGGGTTTAGGGTTTTGGGGTTCAGGGTTTAGGGCTGCCTTGTAGTCATGTATCTGCACAAAACTTCACATCTCCAAGCCCTGTTCGAATTACTGTGGCCTTTGAGGGGGTTGGGGGTTTTCTCATTGAGAGCTCTAGGAGAAGGAGCCCATAGAATAGGGGTTTGGGGTGTTTTGATTTGGAGGGTTAGGATGTTGAGGCATTTCTGGTTTGATTCAGTTACGGGCTTTTGGGGTGTCGGGCAGGATTTAGGAATTTAAGCTTTGTCCTTGTTCTATCCGTTGCAGTGCCATAGAGGAGGCTCCACGTGGTCGCTGGGGGGCTGGGGGAACGGGGTAGGATGAATCGACAATTGATCTTCGGGATGTAGATGTCGTTTATATAATATAGTTTCCAAACTACGATTGTGTTCGTGTACTTGCTACCACAACTACGACGACGACGACGACGACGACGACGCCGACGACGACGACGACGACTACTACTACTACTACTACTAACTACTACTAACTACTAACTACTAACTACTAACTACTAACTACTAACTACTAACTACTAACTACTAACTACTAACTACTACCACTACTGCTACTACTACTACTACTACTACTACTGCTACTACTACTACTACTACTACTACTACACTACTACTACACTACTGCTACTCAACTGCTACTGCGACTACTGCTACTACTACTACTACTACTACTACTACTGGTGCTGCTGCTGCTGCTGCTGCTGTTGCTGCTGTTGCTGCTGCTGCTACTACTACTACTACTGCCGCTGCTGCTAGTACTACTGCTGCTGCTACTACTACTACTACTACTACTACTGCTGCTGCTGCTGCTGCTGCTACTACTACTGCTAGTACTGCTACTGCTAGTACTGCTACTACTACTGCTGCTACCTCTGCTACTACCTCTGCTACTCCTACTGCTGCTACTGCTACTGCTACTCCTACTGCTACTGCTACTGCTACTCCTACAGCTACAACTACTGCTACTGCTACTACACTTCACAAAACCAGCTGCCATCAAAGCTCCCTCAAGCCATCGAAAGCCACCCCTGAAGCATTTAAACTCCAGCTAGACCTGGAGACTTCATGAGAAGCCCAAGAAAGGTAGTTCAGGTATGCACTAAACCAAACTAACCCCATTTTTCGGGATCCGCACAGGTTCACGATGAGAACGATTTCGTTGAGCTGAAACCTTGGGCAGTGCCGTGTGGCACGAAGCTTTCTACTGCTCTTGGGATCTTTTTGTTTTTGTTTTTTTTTTTTGCTTGCTTTCTGGTTACATAGAAACCGGCAAACAAGGTGTTTTCCAGGATGATTGCTGTGATTTCCTTGTACATCTCCTTGAATAATGTAGTTGGCGTCTGCTTTGGAGGCCCCCCGAGTCCCAAAATCCCCCAACTTTAGATGCCCTGAAAGCCCTGAACCCTAAAACACTCGAAAGCGAAAGAAATCTAAGTCACCAAATCCTAGGCCTTTAAACCCTGAAACCCTAAAGACCAACGCCCTAAGACCCTAAAACCTTAAACTCTAAAGCCCTAAAGCCTTGGCATCCGAAACCCTAAAGTCCTAAAACCCAAAACCCCCAAACCCTCTATCAAATCCTTAATACTTGAACCGGGCACGCATGCAGCCGTACCCTCTCGAGACTAGTGCAGCATGAAAAAGATGCCGGTGCAGCCTTGAACTGGCAGCGGAGCCGGGTTTGCGATCCAGGGCAAACGGCTTGGGCCAGAGGCAGCTGCGCGTCTCGAGAGGCAGGTTGGTGATGGCGAGTTTTTTATTCAATGACGAGGAGAGTGACAGCAGGAGCCTTCGCGAGCCCGCTCGGAGGTGGGGTCGTTTGGCGTCCTCGGGACAGTCGGAGGGAGACTGGAGCGAGGCACCCCAGGAGGGAGGAGGGCAAGTTCACTCGGCTTTTGTGGCAGACCATCGCCAACCTGAAGAAGATGGCCAGGAGTGGGACCCCTGGCTGGAGGAGGCCGGACGGCGCAACCGGGACTATGCCAACTGGTGGCGACCAGGAACAGGAGATGAATCTTCTTCGGTGGGTACTTGGGAGCACGTGGGGAGCGAGGGCGGTCGCTCCGGGGCGGTACGAAGTGGCGGGTCGTGGCACCGGCCTGATGCTTCGCTGGAACCTTGGTGGGATTGGCGCGACCGGTATGACCAGGGCAACTTTCTCGCCAAGGACACCCGCGGCGGCTACTACCAGGAGGGCTGGGTGGAGAAGCACCACGGGTGGAAGCGTAACGAGAACTGGGATACGGCCTCGCAGTGGCCGAGCACGCGGTCGTGGAACAGCTTGGTGCCGTGGGAGCCGGCGCGCACCGAGGATCCGGGCTCTCCCAGGGGCCGTGGTCCGGATGGTGGTCTTCCTCCAGGAGATCCTCAACCCGCTGGCGAAACAGGAGAGAAGCGAGGCCCAGGGAAGGTGACTTCATCGTACCCGCCGATTTTCCGAGCCCAGCCTGGCGAGAGCTATCGCGAGTGGAAGCGCCAAGTGGCCTTTTGGTTGGGTGGAGAAGCTGGTCAGCTTCCCGCTCAGTATGTGGGCCCCCGAGTGATGGTGCAACTTCGAGATCGTGCTGCTCAACTGGTTCGCCACCTAAACAACGATGATGTGAATGGGGAAGGTGGTCTTCAGACGATCTTCAAGACGCTGGAGCTGAGCCCGTTGATCAAGCAGCTCGATCGCCACCGTGTGGACCAGCACCGGAAGAAGCTCATGTCTTTGACTCGCTTGCCGAGCGAAAGTATGGAGAGCTATATCACTCGCGGCAGTATCTACAGGACGCAGCTGCAGGGGATGGACTCAGCTATGAGCATGGGGGAGAGCTTCTATACCGGGCACCTCCTCGACCATGCCAGGCTCACTCGGCGGGACAAGGCCATGGTGAAGACGCGTGCCGGGGCGGACACCGAGGACGCGATCACCACGGCCCTTGTCGAGCTGGCGCCGGAGTTGGAAGGGGAACCGGGCTACCCGATTGGCATGGGTGAGCCAGATTTATCCCTCCGTCAAGGCGATGAATGTTTGGTGCAGCCCCAACGGGGTGGATGGCGTGGTGCCAAGGCCGCCCTTGGCGCGGAGATTCCCGAGGAGCCGGTGGAGGAGGGCCTGGAGGAGCTCGACGCGCCAAGCGAGCAGGGGCAGTCCGACGATGCTGTGGAGGTGATGCACGCGGCCAACGAGGCGTATGCCCTGCACTTTCGCGCCAAGCAGAAGATCGCCGAGGTGAAAAAGCTCAGGCAATATTACAACAAAGGGGATAAAGGGGAGAGACCCTCGGCCGAAGAGCGGAGACGAGCCATTGCTGAGCAGATGAAGATCCACCCTTGTCGCATCTGCGGGGAGCATGGGCATTGGGCGCGCGAGTGCCCGAAGAAGGGCGCTGTACATGCAACCATGGTGGCTTGGGCGCCTACAGGCCCATCCCGTTCGAGGGCAGGCAAAGCCAGCTCAGACCAATGGAGTCTGCTGGCCTCCTGCGTGCAGCCTGCGGACCCTCCGAGCACGTTCCAATACATGGGAAGTGGGTCTTGGGAGTGCTTGGTTTCTCGTCGGATGCGTTGGGGACCGGAAGATCCTGTAGAGGTTCATTGGTGCATGCAGGAACTTGCCAACAAGGTCATCCTCGATATTGGGTGCATGAAGAGTGTGGTTGGGACTAAGTGGATGAATAGTGTCGTGAGGCGGTGGAAGCAGGAAGGTCGTTGGTTTGTGGTGGTTCCTGAGGCCGAGGTTTTCAGGTTTGGCAATGGGACTACCTTGAAAAGCCGCTACGCTGTCGCCTTTGAAGCCACCTTTGCCAAGAAGCATGTGATTTTACGTTTTAGTGTGGTCGAAGGTGACTGTCCCCCACTGTTGTCCAAGCCGGCTTGTTCGCAACTCGACCTCAATATCGACTGTGGCAAACACTCTTTGAGCTCCCCCAAATTGAAAGTCAAGGCGTATGGTCTCCCGCATGCACCCAACGGGCACTACCTCATGAACATTGAAGAATTCTCCGAGACGCCTAGGTGCCCGATCCCCAAAGAATTTGCTCTGCCTGCTGATGTGGAAGCCTATGTGTTAGTTGACTTCGAGAGTGAGGACTCTGTGCGCGCGCAGTTTGGCTCTATGAGGCCTCCGAACGAGGAGTCTAGATCACGCTCGCCTTCGTTGCCGCTGCCTTCCCATGGCGTTCGCGAGGCGACCGAGCAGCGGGAGTGCCAGCGCGACCCTTCCTCTTTGTCGTCTATGCGGGGAACAGGGACACGTGGCAGCCCAATGCCCGGACTTGGAGGAGCCCGCCGAGGAGTGGATGGAGGTGGAAGGCGAGCCCAGGCGGACACGCGCGACCCAGAGACCTCCGCTACGACACCCCGAGAAGTTCACGGAGTACTTCGACCTGACGGAGCTCACGACCGAGGAGAAGCAGCTATTGGCGAAGAGGCGAGCCAAGGCGGCCGAGTCACGCAACCGCAAGATGGAGGGGAAGGCCCTCACCGGCCTCCTGGCGGACTATCCGAGCCTGGGCGATCGATGGAGCAGCGATCTGGGCCTAAACATCGCCGGCTCGATGCGCGCTCGGATGATTACCTTCGCCTGGAAGCGCTTTCTCTGGTTGCTCCGGGTCAAGCAGGCAGTGACGCAGAGCGTTCCGGATGGAGTCTGGAGACGGAACCGCCGGTGGGTGGCCAGTTTGCTGATGAAGGAGGTGGGCTCAGCGTGGGGCCACCTGGGAGCGCTGAAGCAGCATATCCCCAACAATGCGGAGGTGATCCGCCGAGCGTGAGGGCGAACACCACAGATCTACCCCAAGCTGGCGGGGACCGGGGCGGCCATGTTGCAAATCGACCTCTCCGACCTGATTCTCACCAAGGGGGGCATGTTGCAGATCGACCTCTTCAACCTGATTCAGACCAAGGGGGGCTAGTTGCAGATCGACCTCTTCGACCAGATTCAGACCAAGGGGGGCATGTTGCAGATCGACCTCTTCGACCAGATTCAGACCAAGGGGGTGGTGGCACAGGTGTTCAGAGACAGCTCGTGAAGATCGGTCGTCCGAACAGAGGCCTCACGCAGAAGCTCAAGGGTGGCGTGCAGACCATTTTGGCCACTATGTCCGAGGTGCAGCGGGTGGCGCGCATGAATCCTAAGCACTATGTGGTGGAGGTCGTGGGCGAGCGGGTGGCCGAGTCGCCGAACTTCCCTCGAGATCTCAATTGGCACCGGGCGCCTTCCTTCGAGCAGCTTTATACCCCCACGGGCACGGTGCTGTTGAAGCAGTGGATCTCCATCGAGCGCCCGGGGCTGATTGTGATGCGCCCCTCAGGAGAGCTGTGGCTTCCTTCCAACCTTCGTCTTCGTTTTGACCCAGAGCTACAACGTCAAGACCGCACCGCCGCTATGAAGGAGTGGTATTTGGTTCGGGAGGTATGGCAGCACCAGACCAGCTTGGGGGGGCTCATGTTGGTGGATCAACCTTTTGGGTCGGAGGCATGGGAGCTCACCTTTCTTCCGGACCTGCCTGGCTGGTGCACTCTGGAGATCGACAAGTGTGCTTTTGGACGTCGTGCCGAAGAACCTCCCACTGGACCTCGTCTTCCTGGCCGTGCTTACTTTGGTGTCAACAACAAGGCCTTGGCCGAGCAGCTAAGAAAGCACGCTCGGTGCAGCTGCCCGGAAGGCCATCTACCCGATGCCGATATTCGCTGGCAAGCGTTGGCAGGCCAGGTGTGGTCTGAAGGCTTGTGGCGCTATGTGCTCACCTGTGCCACGGTCGTCTTGGGGCAGCGCCAGGGGCTCGACACTTGGAATGGGCTGGCCGAGCCGGTGGTGGAGGATGATTGGTTTGTGGCGCCGGTCGCGAACAGCCAGCTGCCCGAAGAAGAACTACGTCGCGTCTTGGCCCAGATTGGGAAAACTGGCGAGAGGTACGATTACGTGACGTTTGATGGTGCCGCCGCCCAGCTTCCTCGCAATGTACGTACCTCCGTGGCCCATTTACACAGCTCCCTGGGCCACCCTGGCAACGACCGGCTGGTGCGTATGTTGGTGCTCAGCGGGGCTACCGAAGAAGTCCTCACCGCCGCGAGGAGCCTACGATGCCAGGTATGCGCCTCGGTTCGAGGCCCGGCCAACGACCCACAGGTGTCCTGCCTGAAACCAAAGATGTTTAATGCTGCCCTCTCCGGGGACAGCTTCTTCATCTTCGACTCCGAGGGCACGAAGTTTGGCGTGGTCCACTACATCGATGGCCTTACCGATTTCCATGTGGGGCAGGGCTTCTCGCAGCCCAACTCGAGCAGAGCGGCGAGGGTGTTGAGAGACAGCTGGTACGGTGTTTTTGGACCTCCGGATGTTTTGCGCACCGATGGAGGCACGGAGTTCCAAGGCGCCGTCTCCGTCCTCAACGAGCTCTTCGGCGTTCCTCACCAGGTGATCCCGGAGGGTGCCAAATATCAGCTGGGGCAGGTGGAGCGTCATGGTGGGGTGCTGAAGATCATGATGATGAAGATGATCGATGCCCTCCAGCTGAAAGGGTTGGAGGACATGCGCATGGGTGTGGCCGCCGCCCTCGCTGCTAAGAACCGCTTGGTGACTGGGGCGGGTGTGTGCCCTATGCAAGCGGTGACCGGTCGAGCTTCGCCTTTGCCACTGTCCTTGATGAACCAGCTGTGCTCTGGGAAGGTCAAATACCGCCTGAACCAGAGCCTTGAGGAGGATGAGGCGTTGCAAAGGGCGGACCGGATTCGCCTTGGAGCTCAGGATGCTATACAATGGATCGATGCGCAGACCACCCTGCGCAGAGCTCTAAATGCCAAGAGCCGCCCGCCCAACCTGGAGATGATAAAGGAAGGGGCCACGGTGTACGTCTATGAACCTCCTCAGAGTCGCGCAGGGCAAGCCCGTCGAGTTCGTGACAACACGTCGTGGGTGGGGCCGGGCACGGTGGTTTGTGTCGAGCGCGACCACCCCACTCCTAAGCGGGCTTGGGTGCGCTTGAAGGGGCGGGTCAAGGCAGTGGCCTTGGAGCGACTGAGGCTAGCTACGGTCGACGAGCTCATCGGCGCGACCGTGGTCACGGACTTTGTGAAGGAGTTGGAGCAAGAGCTGGCCCAAGGGCGCGCACAGGTGGAGCAGCCGGCGGAGAACGAAGATAAGCCGCAGTCGTCATCGTCCTCTTCGAGCTCTTCGGAGGAGAACTTGGGCGAGTCCATTGCGCCTGGTATGGAGTGGGACCCCGAGGAGGAGAAGGCCCTTCGACGAGCGGCGGCGTCCGACGTGCCCGTCCAGATCTTGCGCGAGCGGGAGAAGAGGGCCATTGCCGAGAAGGAGGCCCAGATGGAGCCCCACGAGCTGGACTTCCAAAAGAAAAGGAGGATGTTCGACAGGCTGCAGTCGCAGTTGGAGGTGCCGACCGTCCTCCAAGAAGCAGCAGCTCGCGGGCAGATGGAGGAGTCCTACAGCAAGGCGCGGCGCAAGGTGATCCCGAAGATACCTCCGAAAGCGCGGGGCTCGGGAGCGGCTAGCTCTCGTGCCCCACCACGGTCTGTGAATGCCGTCGATGGTGAGCCATCTCCGGCCTGGCACCACTTGGATGGGGAGGACCTGGACGATGTCTTTGAGATCTACGCCGCGTGCGAGAACAAGATTGAGGAGGAGCAGCCGTTGAAGGACTTGCTGGGTCACTCCCAAGCGGGTGTGAAGGAAGCCGCGGCAGCTCCCCAGATGCTCATGGGCAAGGACAGGGTCGAGCTCCATTGGCGCAAGCTCAGCCCGGACTGGAGAAAGGCCTTCACCAAACCTCTCGTGGAGGCCGTCCAGGTGTACATCGACCACGACGCCATCGCTGCTGTTCCGGAAGATCGCTGGGTCCCTCCCGAGAAGATTCTCTCCTCACGCTTCGTGCTCACGAACAAGACCAAGGAGGAGACCGACCCCTTTAAATGCAAGCTCAAGGGGAGGTGGATCATTGGTGGGCACCGGGACAGCGAAGCGGGGCAGCATGCGACGGCCTCCCCTACGGCTTCCCTCCTCGGCCAGAACCTCGTGAACTTCCTGGCGGTGCAGTTTGGATGGCACGTCACCTACGAGGATGTGACGGCGGCGTTTCTTCAAGGACGGCCTCTTCCACCTGAGCGCGAGGTGTATGTGCGTCTTCCTCGCGATGACTACCCGGCCGAGGTTTACGAGCTCCTCGGTAACTTCGTGGGGGCTGGTGCTAGGGTGGACATGGTGAGGCTCACGAAGGGTGGCTTTGGCTTGCCGGAGTCCCCGAGGCTCTGGTACCAAGAGTACAAGCTGACGTTGAGCGACCTGGGCCTTCGTGAACTCCGTCTTCTTCCGGGAGTCTTTTGCGAGATGCGCGACCGCCAACGCTTGGGCGCCATTGCCTCCATCCACGTGGACGACACCCGCTACACAGGGGACGCCCAGGCCGAGGTGATTTGGGAGAAGCTCCACCAGAAAGCGTCGCCAGGCGAGCGAGGGATGGGTGAAGTTTTGTGGCCGTTGGGAGAAGCAGGACCCCGAGACGATGGAGATTGCCTACAAGATGGATGACTACGCCAAGGAGATCCCGCTTCTTCCCACGCGCAGCCCTGAGGATGACCTGCCTCTCACCGAGATCGAGAAGAAGTTGATAAGCTCCACCGTGGGGCAGCTCATGTGGGCGGGAAGGCAGGCCCGCTACGACTTGCTCTATGGGACCTCCAATGGGCAGCAGTTGGCGGGCACAGGCGACCCTTTGGCTTTGGAGGCCCTCAATAAGGTGGTGCGCCGAGCCCGCGAAGATGCCCCTATGGTGGTGCGACGCCTGGGGGTGCCTATGGACCAATGGTGCATCGTCTCGGCGTCGGACGCGGCGTATGGAGCGCAACCTCGAGGCGCCAGTCAAGGAGGCCTGGTGATCCTCGTTGCCGATCAGAAGATCACCCAAGGAACCGCTCGGGTGTCCATTCTGGATGCTCAGAGCGCGAAGATTCACCGAGTGGTTCGGTGCTCGATGAGCGCCGAGCTCAGCAGCGGTGCCACGGCCTTTGAGTACGGGGACTACGTGAAGGCGGTGTTGGGCGAGATGGTGCTCCCGCCCTTTTCTTTGAAAGAATGGAAAATGGCAACTATGCTTTGGCGCCACTACCTCGTGCTGGACGCCAAGACAGCGTATGATGCCTTGTACTCGGAGAACCTCCCGTCGGACCGCAAGCTGCTCATCGACATCGCCGTCCTCAGAGAAGCCCTTGGCGAGAACGAACAAAACTTTGTGAGGTGGGTGCCTGGAAGCCAAATGATTTCGGATGGCCTCACCAAGTGGAATGGGAACGGCATCTTGCAGCAGGTGATGAGTACGGGGTGTTGGTCCTTGAAGGACACCGAGGAGCTACAAAAGCTTCGTGAAGCAGCCGGGGCCAAGAAGAAGGCCATTATGGCCAAGGCGAAAGCTCGCAGAAATCAGAGCTTTTAGCCGTATGTGTTTTCTTTCATGCTTATCTTTGGCTCCTTCGGGCACGGCACCCGGGGGGGTAAGACTTGAACCGGGCACGCATGCAGCCGTACCCTCTCGAGACTAGTGCAGCATGAAAAAGATGCCGGTGCAGCCTTGAACTTTAATGGAACCCATGTAAACACCTTTACCCTAAAGACCTCAGGAAGTGGATGAAGCGGAACTGGGACAAGTGGCAAGGCCAGAGCGCCGGCTTGGAGGGCTTTTAAGGGTTTCCGGGTTTTAAGCCATAGGGCTTTAAGGCTTTAGGGTTTGAGGGTCTTTGGGCTGTAGGGTTTCGGCGGAGTCTTCGGAATTATGGTGTTCTCTTATTATACTCAAACTCCAAGGGATTGTGATAAAGGGTCGCTTTTATCTTAATTCTAAGGGCGCACGAAAGAGGCTTGCAGGCTGGTATGCCGATCAAGGATTCAGGAGCTTCCTCAGGGGTGCGGAGCTTTATTAATGTAACCCTTCGGTTGGGGTTGAGGGGTCTCATACACATATATATATATATATGTATGTATATATATATATATAGGATCAACACTTGTTGGCGCGGCGAACTGAAACACCTGTAGCCTGTCGTAATCCACGGCCGGAAAGCCCAGTCTGAATCATGAAGCAATTTTCCCCCAGCAGTTACTAAAAACAGTCCGCTAGTCTAGGAGCCCGAGCAAGAAACCTTCGGTCTTCATTCGGGCTTGTTACATGGATCCTAATATTTTGGGGTTTTATAGGACCAGAGATTTTATGGATCCTAATATTTTGGGGTTTTGATAGGACCAGGGATTTTCAATCAGGTTCTTACATTCTCATGCATCCCAGTGCCCTATCCTCCTTGCGTTGTCAACCAGGCTACTCTTTCTACACGGGCTCCCTAGCCATTGAGAAGTGCGTGACGGCGACTTGGCAGCATCTGTTACGACTACTATAATACCTAGTACTGACACCAGTACCACATTTAATACTGAAGCTAACCCTTTCCGGTTCAATGTTGGCAATGGCAACCAGATTGAACCACACGAAACAAGGTTTAATCATTCGTAGGTTTGCTATGCCTGCCGTGGTTTGCTCACATGTTGAAACTCGAATCATCGGAGGCCAAAAAGGGTTTCGGCTTGTGGGGTTCTAGTAGGGATTAGGGTTACCATAATGCAGGTGACATCCTTGGCTGCCCTCTTACAAGGCACAACAGTGTCTTACAATCAATCTTTCACAGCCAAGCTCAAATCGTGATCCAGGATTGCAGTCTACCAAAGACACGTCTATTGGAGTGACAGCCACAAGGCAATGGTCTCACTGTTTCAACGAGGCACCAGTTCAAGTTTAAGTTCCGCTGCCCTGCTGCATGACGGTCATCGGTACTAATACCAGTTTCGGCGCGGAGTACGCAGCATGACTAGTGTTTAGAGCCCCTGCAGCCCGTCGGCCCAGCTAGGGTGTCTATGTAGAGATGTCCCACGGAAGACTCACCCAGGTGACCTACGCCATCAACGTGCAGCCGGTCGTTGCTTTCATTGGCGGCTTGCAATTTGACGTGATGCCAAAGCCGCTGGCTTCGGTGGCTCGGGCTTACGGATAGGATTTAAGGTGTACATTAAAGTGCTGAATACAGTGCATTTCGGCTGAAAGCCTAGACCCCACAGCCTGTGGGGGGGGGGGGGGTTCTTATTTGTGCAATTTGTTGCCTGCGCTTGTGCAAGAGTTAGGGATTTCCTACACTTTGGGCGTCCGGCAGTCAGCCTTGGGCAACAAGCCCCGATACTGCAAAACCTTCTAATACAGGGATGTACCTCAAATCATGATCATTCCTATCATAATGTAAGATATATTCCTCAACTAAGGGGTTCTGGAGTATCTTGGGGGCCCATCAAAACACCAGAGTGGGGTGTTTAGGAAGGTGCCCATAGTCAAAGTCAGAAAGAGTGCATGAGCCCTGTAAACTCCGAATGCATACGTATAGTATGCGGGCTCAGTAAAATCAAAGTAGAATGTACCCCCGAAACCCTATTCTGAGTCTTAAGGCCCGTCGTACCTGTGTGGGGCTGTGTTTGGCCTAGACCCCAATGAGGAAACAAAAGAGGATGTCACTCTGAGTGTGAGGATCCCTCAGGGATCCGAATTTACTTTGTTTGGTTTAGCATGTAGGGGTATGGGTATAGGGTTTGGGGGCAAGGGTTTCGGGTTTTGGGGTTTAGGATCTTATGCGTCAGGTTTGACTTTCGGGGTTACGGTTTAGGGTTCTGCATCTCAGGTCAGATATGATTAGGGTTGAACGAAATTTGCTTACAGCGTTTATGGTTTAGGGTTTACGCCATCCGGGTTGATGCGACAAAGTTTACAGACCCAAAAAACCCGTACACGCTAGCCCCAAGGCCCCAAGTACTCCAAGTACCTATTCATCCTGATCATATACTCTCCCCAAGATTACATGACTATTATGCTAAACCTGAGTACCTGTTGTAACACTCAGCAATGCTGGGTCCTGTGGACACCTTAGGGCCCTAAACCCTTAACCCCTAAACCCTATATACCCTAAACCCTAAACCCTATAAACCCTAAACCCCTAGCG